GGGGACCTGTCATGTGACCCAGGCTCCCTGATCAGATGTATCCATGTGAAGCCAGAGATGCAGGTACCACATGGAGCCTGTGATTGTGAGGCTAGAGCCGGCACGTCCACCAACATATAAACTCCACAAGAGCAGTGATCTTTGTACTTTCCTTCTGTAAACTTAATGCCTGGTGTATAGTAAGTGCTCGATATAGATGTTCGTTGAATGAATACATGAATGAATGCAGCCTTCCAAGGGCCTGCAGGCAGGGGTTCTGAGCTCCAGGGGCCCAGATGTTGTGGGCAATGGCTACTTCAGTAGGAGCAGTTCCACCAAGTTATTTATACCTTGTTCCTTGTTTCTAGCCTTGGGAAGTTCCTGTGAACATGTACAACCTTTTTCACTTTATTTTTTTATTGTTTTTTTTTTTTAATTTAACTATAGTTGGTTTACAACGTTGGGCTAGTTTTAGCTGTATAACTTCAGATTCTTTTATTGTCAATTGTTGCAAGATACTGAACATGGTTCCCTGTAGGAGTGTTAGTCACTCAGTCATGTCTGACTCTTTGCGACTCCATGGACTGTAGCCCGCCAAGCTCCTCTGTCCATGGAATTCTCCAGGCGAGAACACGGGAGTGGGTGGCCATTTCCTTCTCCAATGGTTCCCGGTGCTATACAGTAAATCCCTAATGTTTATCTATTTTATATATAATGCTCTGTATCCCATACTCCTCATTTATCCCTCCTCATCCCCTTTGGTAACCATAAGTTTATTTTTCATGTCCGAGAGTCTGAGTTTTAAATACATTGATGTGATTATTTTTTTTAGACATGCTAAGCTTTATTAAACCCCTTTCTGGGGACTTCCCTGGTGGTCTAGTGGCTAAGATGCTACAGTCCCAATGCAGGGGGCTTGGGGTCAATCCCTGGTCAGGGAACTAGAGTCCACATACTGGAACTAGAAGATGGAACGTGACGCAACTAAGACCTGGCACAGCCAAATAAATAAATTTAAAAGATAAATATTAAAAAAAACCCTAAAAACACCTTCCTGCACATGCCGGTCGGAGTTGACTTCTGTTACAGCCAAACTCCCTCATGATGAAGAGAGATTGAGAGTGTGAGTTACCTGGGATGCTAGGAGCGATGTCGGCCACTTACACTCCCACCTAGGTTGGGGGGCTGAATTTGGGGCCCTCCAATATAAATGTCTGGAGCTGAGGACACCCGCCCTAACTTGAGGACCCTCCCAACCAAGCCTACCCCCAATTCCCTCTGCCTTTGCTCTTCTTTTTACGCTGGGCTGAACTGCCTGGCTTCCCTGCCCCCTGTGCTCAGCCCTCTGAAATCAAGGCCATTCCCCGCCCTCCTTGCTTGCTTTCTCCACGGGGACCCCTCAGTACTTCCATGGGAGTCCATGTGTAAGAACCGCATGGCAGGAGGGCCAGGGCTATGCACTTGGCTCCTCCCCTTCCCAGAGGCTACGTGCAAGGTTCTTACAGGAATGGAATGAAGTGAGGTTGGCAAAGCACTTCGTTGGAGGTGCTGGCAAGTAGTAAGTGCTTCATAAATTAGAGATGGGGTTGCAAATATTTACTGAGCGGCTCATGTGTGCTAAGCCATGCTCTAGGCACTAGGAGATTGATGATGAAAAAAATGGTAAAGTCTACCTTGTGACTATTGAATCCTGGCTCGTCTTCCCAGCTGTCATCCTCAGCTCCCCTTCTGGTTTGTTGTACTTGATCCCATCTCCTTGGAAAAGGGGTGGGCCTTTGACTCAAGGGGAAGCAGACCCACAGGCCAGATGGGGCCAACCAGATTCTCTGTCTGTCTCTCCAGCTCCCTTTCTCTCTATCTCTGCATCTTGGAAGAGAAGACTCAGAATGCGCAAAGAAGCCTGTGTAGTGTCTTGGTAGGAATCCTTGGCTGTGAGAGGAATGGAGCCTTGGAGCAGAGATGAGACCGGAGATGTCGCCCCCTGGAGGCGGAGGGAGCACCTGCTTTCCCCGCAAAACTTCCTTTCCCACCCTCCAGGCTGGGTACCTGGTCCATTCGTTCATTCAACAGTGTGTCTGGCTCTGTTCTAGGCTCCGAAGAAGCAGCTGTGAACCCTGGCCTAATATAGAGCCCACATCCCAGGGGCTACCTCTGGGGCTCTACAAGACACCCCCACTCTGAGTCAGTTGGAGAGAGCTTCTATTCTTAGAACCCAAGTGTTAGTTGCTCAGTCATGTCTGACTCTTTATGACTTTATGAACTGTAGCCCACCAGGCTTCTCTGTCCATGGAATTCTCCAGGCAAGAATACTGGATTGGGTCGCCATTCCCTTCTCCAGGGGATCTTCCCAACTCAGGGATCGAACCCAGGTCTCCGTGCATTGCAGGCAGATTCTTTACTATCTAAGCCACCAGGGAAGCCCCTGGCCTTGGCTCAAATTTATCCTGCAGTGCTGACCTCCTAGGATGCCCCCTGTTCACTGCCCTGTCTCAGCCATGCTGGCTTCCTGCCAGCTAATTCATGAGCCCTGTAGCTTCCTGCCCCAGGCCCTATGCACAGGCTGAGCCCTCTGCCCGTATACCTTCCAGAGCTCCTTTCTTCTCTAATTAGGACTTCCAGGGGACTTTCCTGGTGGTTCCAGTGGCTAAGACTCTGTGCTCCCAAAGTGGGGGGCCTGGGTTCAATCCCTGGTCAGGGAACTAGATCCCACATGGCACAACTAAGCGTTCACATGCCACAGCTAAGGCCCAGGGCAACCAAAACAAAAAGTAGTGGAAAAAAAAAAAAAAGAACTGTCGATTATCATTCAAACTTCGTTGAAGGATCACATTTTCAGGCAACCTCCCTGACACCCCTCTTTACAATCTCATAATTCCTACACTTTCCTTCCCAGTACCTGCACTGTGCATAAGAATCTATTGTATGTGTGTGTGATTATAATGTTAATATCTGTCTCCCTCACTGGGCTGTGAGCCCCAGGAGGGGAAGGTCAGGGCTGCCTTGGTCACCACTCTGTCCCCAGCACGGCGCAGTACCGGCCAGACACAGAGGAGGCCTTGAGGAGGTGGCTCTTAGGGGATGCTTGCTGAAGGAGTGAATGAGGAATTTAGCTCTGGCAGAGGCAGTTGTGCATCTAATTCAGGAGGCGCTGCATTCAAGTCCCATCTCTGCTGCTGATTTGATGGTGAGCTGCCTGATACCCTGCTTCAAACCTTCAGGATAAAACAGAGATTCAGCATGCCCTGTGCCCAATGGATGAGTTAAGTTATGAATCCGATCACTCTCCTGCTTAAACCCTCTTGTGGCTACTTGTCAGTCTTTCCATGGCATATGAACCTGGCCCCTGTCTACCTCTCAGCCCTCACCTCCCCACACTCAACTTGCTCACTGTCTTCTAGCTGTGGAGTCCATCTGTCTATACTTTAAACACACCAAACTAGTCTAACCTCAGGGCCTTTGCACATGCTATGCTCTCTACCAGGAACTCCTGCCCTAGAAATCCTCAGGACGCCCTTCCTTCTTTTGCCTACTTTCTCAGCAAAGCCTATTCTAGATCACATCATTGTTTATTTATTTATTTATTGTTTTACTGGACAAGTCTAATCTCTCTGTGCCTCAGTTTTTGCATCTGTAAAATGGATCTAATAATGTTATCTACTTAGCAGAGCTGCAGTGAGGATTAAATGAGTTATTATGGGTAAAGCTGGCATTTACCTATAACAAGTCATTTTATAGTATAGGATAGGGACTCTACTTAATGGTGGATTGAATGGGAAGGAAGTTTAAAAGGGAGGGGATGTATGTATGGCTGATTCACTTTTCTGTACAATAGGAACAGTAATACAACATTGTAAAGCAACTATACTTCAGTAAGCATTAATTAAAAAATAAAAGGCTGAGCATGTTCCATTTTTCTTACTCTGTGGTCTGTTTGGGCGCACTGATGGGCATGTGGAATCTTAGTTCCCCAACCAGGGATCGAACCTGTGCCCTCTGCAATGGAAGCAAGGAATTGTAACCACTGGAACACCAGGGAATTACCACAAGACAAGTTTTTAAGGTTATAAATCAGAACATGTGATGACAATCACAAAGGGAAAGGGATGAGCCAAGTCCTATGGGGACCTAGATGATGAGTGACCAAGTCTGCCTGGAAAAGTTAAGTCATTCCACTCCCAGCTTTATTGAGATATAATTGGCATGTAATAGTTCACAGAGTTCTGAGAAAAGATACACATGAATTAATATAGGGTAGTGGTTCTCAAACAGGGGTGACATTCGGCAATGTCTGAAAACATTTTTGGTTGTCACTACTGGGAGGGTTCTATTAGCATCTAGTGATGAAAGCCCAGGGAAGGTGCTAAATACTTGACAGTGGACGGAATGTGTAGCCTCTGCTACAAAGAAATAGCCAGTCCAAAATGTTAATAGTGCCCAGGTTGAGAAGTTGTGTTCTAGGGCAGGTGTTTAGAACTTGTTTTTGATCCATAACAAGTACCCAGGAAATATTAGCTGTTGCTGTGTCTGCCACCATATCTCTTTTGCTGAGAGTAGATTCATCAATACATTTTTTTTTTTTGGCTGTACTGTGAGGCTTGTGGGGTCTTAGTTCCCTGACCGGGGATCAACCCTGGGTCGCCACAGTGGAAGTGCCAAGTCCTAACCACTGGACTTCCAGGGAATTCCCAATAAATTCTTGACTTATGAACATAGATCCCTCAAGACTAGGCATACAGTAGGTGCTCAGTACATATTTCATGAATTCATGCATGTGAAGAATAAAGAGATGGTGCATTCTCCAGGGTCCGGCTCAGTGCCTGGCACAAAGCAGGCATTTGATAGATGTGTTCTTAGTTAATGCACCAGAGGATTAAATGACAACTTCGGGGCTGGTACTGAGAAAGTGCTCAGCCAATATGTGTTGCATGAAGGAACGAGAGGACCAAATGTTTGCACAGAGCTTGGTGGCTGCTCAGGATGCATTAGCCTCCCCACTTCTTCCCCCAGTGCCCAACACTCACCGACCACCTGGACCTCAGTCTTGGCCCGCATGGTCCAGGAAGGGTTGATGGTGACAGCTACCTGATAGGTGCCGCTGTCGCTGGGCTGGGCGCGACGCAGCAGCATGGAGCCGTTGGAGAAGCCAACGATGTCTCGCTGATTCATGGCACTGCCATCCCTCTGGGGTCGTAGTAGCTTGGGGATGTAGGTGAATAGCATTGTGCCTCCATGGGCCTCCTCCCCCAGGTACCAGCTGAAGTCCTGGAAGGTGTCTGGGATGCCCTGGACAGACAGGAGAAGGTCCTGGTTCATTTGAGGCTGCTCCGGAATCTTCTGGATGTGGAGGGCTGCCCAGGAGCCTTGGGGGACCCAGAGGGCCAGGATGGAGGCTGTGGGGTTACAGGGGAGGCCTGGGATCAGAAGTGTTAGGCAGGGACCATAGCATTCTCCTCCCTACAGGTCCTCAACTGCAGGCTCTGAGCGCTGCTCATTGGCAGCAGTGCTGGGATTGATCAGTGATGTCTGCTCTGGGTGCAAGCATGTAACCCAGGTATGACTGTCACAGATCTGCCATCCCATTGGTCCAGAAAGTTTTTCCCCTTGGAGATGGTATGTGATCTGCCTCCAAACACACGGACTCTCTGAACTAATTTATTAGTTTGTCTAACTAATATTTGCTTAACCAATATATTGTTCATGCTACAATACCAGTTATATAGGATATGTGTAAAATTCCTTATGGACCTCCCCAGTGGTCCAGTAGTTATGACTGGTCAGGGAATTAAGATCCCATATGCTGTGTGATACAGCCCAAAAAATAATAAAAGAAAATAAAATTCCCTAGATTTCTAAGCCCTGGGAATTCAGCAGGGAATCAAACAGAAGTAAATTCCAGCTTTTGTGGACCTGGCATTCTAGAAAACTCCACAGGTTAAATGGGGATGAGGTTATGATTCTTCTGCCCTTTCCTCCCATCTTACTCTCATAATTTCCTTTCCCCTGACAAACTTTCCCTTCTTTCAAGAGGAAACCTCAGCCCCTGGGCTAAGGATCCCTTCTCCCCTCAGCCCTGGGGGGTATGTTTCCTCCTTACCTGAGAGCAGGAGGCTCTTGGGGAAGGCGTGCTGGGCCCCAGCAGGAATCTCCATCTTGGTGTCCTATGGAGATGCCAAGGGGCCACCTACTGGACACCAAGGGGGCCCGAAGGTGGGGTCCTGGCTATCCGAAGCGAGCCCACTCAGTGAGGATCCCGGGGGTGCCTCTGAGACATGGCTGAGGCTGGCCCAACCTAGTACCCCTTTTCCATAAGCTCTGAAGGCCTCACCTGTGCTCCTTTAGATGAGGGATGATCCACACAGAAGCTGGTTGAACCAGTTTTCCAGGGTGACTGAGGAACTTCCTGGGGTTTCCCAAGACTCCTCCCTTGACCCTTTTACATCTCTTCTTCCTTGTCAGAAGCAAGGCACTAATTATAACAGCAAAAACAACAGCCACAGCAGCCTCCAACTGAGCAACCCCCCTGGGCCAGGCAAGGAGGTAGGTAATACCTTGTCTAAATACCTCATCCCATATCCACCATGCATAACTTTCCATTTTATGGAATGAGAAAACTGAGGCTCAAGGTGAGAGGCAAGTCAATCAGCAGGTGGAGATCTGACCTGTGGCTGGCTCACTCTGAAGCTCTTAGCATAGTTGTTCAAAAACATCCCTCTGTTCATTCATTCCAACATGCACACACTATGCCCAGTCCTGGGCCAAGTGATGCTGAGAACATGGTGATGACTGAGACGGCTCCTGCTCTGCCCTCGGTCCACAGTGGGGCTCACAGTTCTGTGTGTGTGTGTATGTGCGTGCTCATGTGTGTGTGTGAGAGAGGCCCATCTCCAGATGATGATGATACAGAGTTAACCCCAACGCTGGGCTGGAGGAGCCTCAGGACCCAGGAGAACCTGAGGGAATGCCTTATTCAGCCAGAGAGGCAGGGAGGACTTCCTGGAGGAGGGGATGTCGCGCTGAGACCTAGAGTAGGAGGAGGAATAGGGTGGGATGGATTGGGGAAAGGTATACCAGGCAGTGTAAACAGCATAGGCAAAAGGCATGGAGGCTGAGACAGCCTTCGAGGTGCACTGAGGAGTCAGCAAAATCCTGGAAGAATGGAGGGCCGAGCAGGGAGGAGGTGTGTGTTGAGGGGTGAAGCTGGAGAAATAGGAGGGACCAAGTGTAATTTTGAGCTCTGTTGGGGCATGACCTGGGTGCTGGAGGGTCCAGGATTGTGCTATGACCATAGCCACATAAGGCTATTTAAATATCAGTGTAAATTAATTGAAATGTAATGCCTTAAAAAACCTAGTTCCTCGAACTAGCCACTTTCAAGTGCTCAACAGCCCCACGTGGTCAGTGGCTACCACACTTGAGAGCATGGGTACAGGACATTTCCATCATTGTCAGAGAAATTTCTATGGGACAGCACACATCCAGGGATCTGAGGGGGTCGATGCCAGGTTAGATTTCTTGTCTTGTAGGAGGAGAGAACACCAAGTCAGGGTACCATACATCACACAGCAGTGTGTGTGTGTGTGTGTGTGTGTGTGTTGGACACACTTCAGCAGATTGGCATCTTCCACAGTCCCCAGGTTGGAACACTTTTCTTCCTTTTCCTTTTTCTTCTTCTTCTATTTTTAATTCTTTTGGCAGCTCTGCATGGCACGTGGGATCTTAGTTCCCTGACCAGGGATTGAACTCGAGCCCCTAGCATTATCAGCACTGAATCTTAACCACTGGACCACCAGGGAAATCCCAGAGTCCTTAGGTTGGGACAGGAAAGAAATCTTGACTTTGAACTGTCTCGAGGCGGGCATGGTCCAGATGTCTGAACAACTGTAGACTCCAGGACTGCCCTGCTGTGAGTGGGTGAGCCTGGCTCTCAGCCCAGCTCTGCCACCACTTGGTTATGGGATCTTGGACGAAAGAGTTCACCTCTTGGAACTTTGGTTTCCTCCTCTGGAGGATGGGGCAAACACCCTTACTTATGGGGCTATTGGGAGGAGTAAGGAGACTTTGCAGGCAGGGGCCAGTAAATGCCTGTTATTTGTAATTATTATCCACCTTGTCTATGGACTTGCCCTGCCTCCCAGATTCGTGACCCTGCTCATGGAAAGTGTGTTTCCCTGGAGGTGTTTTCAATCCTCACCTCCCAAACGGTCTCTACAGCCTGGAAGGTCTTGAGGCTGTGTTCCTGGGGTCAGAATTCTTCCAGGATCTTTTGCTGCTGTTTTGAGGTTTGCTCTGTCCATCCGCCTCAGGGGGACTGTTGCAAACCCAGTCTTTATTTCTAAGGTCATTGCCCCAATCTTGGGCTGCAATCAGATTGCCCAAACCGGCTTCATTCTGGTAGGAATTTGGGGCACACCAGAAGTGGAGTTAAGGGGCCACAGGGATTCTGATGAATTTTCCCTGTTAGACTTCAGGTTCAAATGTTCTCTGAGCTGGAAGGGGGAGAGGCAGGGCAGTAAGCAAAGCCAGTTATTCTAGATTTTCCAGTTCCTGAAGCTCCTCTCTCTCTCTTTCTCCTCCCTCCCTCTCTCCCTCCTTCCTTCCTGCCTCCCTCTCACCTGATGACTTTGATTCCTCTTACAACTACTAAAAGGAAAGTTAAGGTTTATTTAGAACATTTAGACAGAAAGAACTCAAAAGGAAGAGAGTAAAATTCAGCCAGCTTCCAACTGCCCAGAGAGCATCACTGTTAATTGTTGTTGTTGTTTAGTCACTCAGTTGTGTCCAACTCTGTGTGACCCCATGGACTGTAGCCCCCTTTTCCAGGGGATCTTCCCGACCAGGCATCGAACCCACGTCTCCTGCATTAGCAGGTGGATTCTTTACTGCCGAGCTTTTTCACCAGCCCCAGAAAGCAGGTCCTGGCTGGTCCAAGCCTCCTAATCTCACAGAGGCAGCAGTGAGTGGTGACTTGAAGTGATATCTTAGTTCCCTGCCCAGGAATTGAACCTGGGTAACCTGGGTGAAAACCAGGAGTCCTAGCCACCAGACCACAAAGGGCTAGAGGCTAGAAGAAGAATCTCCCTGTCTCTCGCTTCCATTTGAAGGCAAGAATGTTTTAAGGAGGCAAAAGCTGTGAAAACACATGCAAGGTTTATTATTGGAGGCATAGTACAACAAGTGGGAGAGCACACAGAAACAGTTTAGTTAAGACAGAAGCAAGATGCTCACCTGGAGAGAGAGGGTGTGGGCTTCCCCCACTGAGGAGGAGGAGCACAGAATACAGTGCAATTCTTCTGGGTCTTTATGTGTGTGTGCTAAGTTGCTTCAGTTGTGTCCGGCTCTTTGTGACCCTTTGGACTGTAGCCCACTAGTCTCCTCTGTTCACAGGATTCTCTAGGCAAGAATACTGAAGTGCGTTGCTATATCCTCCTCCAGGGGATGTTCCTGACCCAGGGGTCCAACCCACATCGCCTACATTAGCAGGCAGATTATTTACCATTAGTACCACCTGGGAAGCCCAGGTCTTTGTTTACCTTTGGCCAATTATCTGATTTCTTTTTTCACACCTGACCTGCCCTAGGACCCTCCCCAACAAGGATGCGCAACTTTTTCCAAGGTGGATTTCATCCCAGAGGTCTATGGAGGACCTTGGCACTACCTATTATGGGTTGGCGCCTCCTCCTTTTGGACCCCCAAGGAGTCTTTCTGCACATGTGCTATGTCTCCCTTGCCCCAAGGATAGGAAATGTGTGACCTCTTGATCTTTTACTCAAACAGAATTTAGTCTGTCTCTGTCCCTGCTGTGACTGTTAAAGTGTCCACAGGAGACAAAGTCCAGTTATTTACCCTGTTCCTGTTGTTATTTCTAACTCAAAGTGCAAACAGGAGGCTTATTGTAAATATCTAGCCTAGAGCCTGCCTGCCTCTTTCCCCAGGAAATGTAAACAGGAGGATAATTATAAATGCCTAGCCTAGAGCCCATGGACCAAAAGACTGGTTCCAAATAGGAAAAGGAGTACGTCAAGGCTATATATTGTTACCCTGCTTATTTAACTTATATGCAGAGTACATCATGAGAAACGCTGGGGTGGAGGAAGCACAAGCTGGAATCAAGATTGCCGGGAGAAATATCAATAACCTCAGATATGCAGATGATATCACCCTTATGGCAGAAAGTGAAGAAGAACTAAAAAGCCTCTTAAGGAAAGTAAAAGAGGAGAGTGAAAAAGTTGGCTTAAAGCTCAACATTCAGAAAACTAAGATCATGGCATCTGGTCCCATCACTTCATGGGAAATAGATGGGGAAACAGTGGAAGCAGTGTCAGACTTTATTTTTTGGGGATTCAAAATCACTGCAGGTGGTGATTGCAGCCATGAAATTAAAAGACACTTACTCCTTGGAAGGAAAGTTATGACCAACCTAGATAGCATATTAAAAAGCAGAGACATTACTTTGCCAACAAAGGTCCGTCTAGTCAAGGCTATGGTTTTTCCAGTGGTCATGTATGGATGTGAGAGTTGGACTATAAAGAAAGCTGAGCGCCAAAGAAGTGATGCTTTTGAACTGTGGTGTTGGAGAAGACTCTTGAGAGATCCTTGGATTGCAAGGACATCCAACCAGTCCATCCTAAAGGAGATCAGTCCTGGGTGTTCATTGGAAGGACTGATGCTGAAGCTGAAACACCAATACTTTGGCCACCTCATGCGAAGAGTTGACTCATGAGAAAAGACCCTGATGCTGGGAGGGATTGAGGGCAGGAGGAGAAGGGGATGACAGAGGATGAGATAGTTGGATGGCATCACTGACTCAATGGACATGAGTTTGAGTAAACTCCGGGAGTTGGTGATGGACAGGGAGGCCTGGCGTACTGCGATTCATGGGGTCGCAAAGAGTCGGACACGACTGAGCGACTGAACTGAACTGAACTGAGCCTAGAGCCCATCTCTTTCCTGCCTCACTCCCAGGTGGTCCCATTCTCTGGCCAGGGATTGGTTGAGTAGTGGGTAGTGCTGGCCAGTCAGAGCTGAGGGGAGGCTCCTGGGGAAGCTCTCCCAGAATGGAGTGGGCTGCTTCTCCGCATAGTTTTTGGCTGTGATGGCTGGAATGCAGCAGCCACTTTGGCACCAGCCTGAGGATGACAGTCAGTATGTG